CTGCTTTCCACGTCTGGTCAAGCAAGAGTTATAGGATGCTCCCGGACTTTTGCACTATTTGCTCCATGTATTTCACAGTACTTTTGCAATTTTATCATGTGTCCCCTGTATTGTGTAGCACGTAGCGTTTTAATATAGGTACTTTTCACGTATGGTAGTTTTGGGACCCCGATATTCCTTAGGCTATAAAGGGGTTTTAGGTAGTTTTGACAGCATACTTAGGTTTGCGCAGACCCATTCTTGCTTTATGTCTCATACCCGTTTTTTTCTGTGGGCGTACCACGTATCAATGAGGCTTCGCTGGGATCGAAGGTTTCATGGGTAATGATCCAGTCCTATATGCCCTTTAAGTATTGTGGTTTTCCTACTACTTTTATAGCCGGAACTATTTAATTATATAAGCTTTGTCCGGAGACTCTTAGCAAACATAAGAGTAAGAAACCAAATTGCTTAAACAAAAGATAATAAAGTAATATCAATCAAAATCCGGAAATCATAGTGGAAAATAGTAAATCGCAGGGCGTTTCAGATGGGTAGACTATGCTTTACCTTTGCTATCTTGTAGCTTGTGTGCTTTGACCCCTCGCGGAACCGTAACTCCTTTCTGAAAGTTTTGGGGAAAAATACCCAGGTATAATTTTCCTCCAGCCTCCAGGCAGGTTCCGGACCCCTGGGTCCCTGATAAAGGAATGCTTCAGGTCCCGCTGAGAGGAACCCCAGAATCGGTCCATGGAACTGCTCCCCGATCAAGAAAATAGAAAACTTTCGATAGGGAGAACCTTCCATATTTCTGAATATGGAAGATTTCCATCTTCTTAAACCGACCTAACGACGACTATATAAAGAAGACTAAAACCCTAGAGCAAGGGATCGACGTTTCTAGGCTTGAAGACTAGACTTAGACGGCTAGGGTTAGGGTTCTCATAATAATACCTTGTAATCCTAGCTTGTCTATTCAATAATACTTCTCTTCAAGTCTGTTTCTTCATCCTCTCTTATTACTCCTTACGAAATACTATAAATCCTATACAAACTACTAACTCATCTATCGTTCCATAGTACTCACAAAGAGCCTACACAAAAATCTCCTAACAGTTTGGCGCTAGAAGGAGAGAAGTAATCTAAACTACGTGACGATGGCGGTGGATGAGTCAGACGATCTACCACAGGCTACTCCGAGGGAAGCCAAGTCCTAGAGAAAAATCGATGATCTACAGGACCATGAAGTCCAGGTCATATTCAGAGGCACGACAGCAAGCGACGTTGATTATGTACTCATGGATAAGAGCGTATGGGGCACATAATTAACGTCGCTTGCTGTCGTGCCTCTAGATATGACCTGGACTGCATGGTCCTCCCTATCGCAATCTTATCATACGCCTCCCTCTCCTCGAGGGAAGCCGAAGAAAACATACACGGGCTCGGAGCCGCCACGTCTTGATCTCGAAACGAAGAACCACCTCACGATATCAGAGTTACGACCCGCGATAACCGCCGACGCTTGCGGCCAGAGCAGCAGAATCCTCCTCCGAACCAGGGGGTGATCCCCCTGTTCCAGGAGTTCCCTCGACGTCGGAATCCAAGATCGGGATCAAGGATGATCCCCCAAAATCTCTACTCCCTGCAACAGATCTACGGTTCCAAAACGATGACCTCATAGCCAGTTGCCTATCTGATTTGGCAGGGTCCCGCACTACCCTTGAGCTTGGAACTGCTATCAACAATAGCCAGTGCACAATCCGCTCCGCCTGGTAGCAAGAAAGCGGCACAAATTCGTCCGCAATCAAAGGACGACCAATCTAGGTAACCTTACCACAACACCTTCAGCAAATCTCTGAACTCATTGAACATCATATAGCTCTCGGAATGTACTGAATGCATAAACCTTCCTTAGAAGTCGACTATCAAAAAGAAAAATATGACAAAAGAAGTATCTGAAATTCAGAACCCACCTATATTTAGTCGGCCCAAACACGAGGAATCCTCGAAAAATTAAAGTCGCCCACTGACGAGCGATCAATCTTGAACACAAATAATCCTTCTCGTCAGTTTTGATCGCGGTATGGAATTCCTCGGATGATATGGCGTCCCATACGCGGTGACATGGGGAAAGTTCCGGGACTTTGGTTGTTCCTCTTCAACAAACACAAGTGACGCAACTCCTCTAGACCAAATCGCAAACCTTCTTCACGAGCTCTAGATACAAGAGCCAGGAGGTCTCTTAAGAATTTTGGGCACATCTGAGTGAGAGATATACTCAATTCAGCCAGGATCTCTAGGATTGGTCATGGAATCGGAAAGAAAAGGCCGCAAGACTCAAAGAACGAGAGATACGCTCCGAAAAATCCGTCACAAATGGTCTCGGGAGTCTCAAACGTGTAGGCTAGCTCAAGCTTGACGTCTCGATCGACGCCGTGCATGGTGTACAAACCCTCGAGACGATCGGCGGTGGTTGTCAGAAGAGGAAAAGAAAACGATGTAGTCATCTTTGCTCGAGGGAAATTGAAATCGTAAAAGCAAGAATTCAGAAGAGAAAGAAAGATTTAGAAGAAGAAGAGGAACCTCGAGTATTTAAAGACATCCGCCGACTCCAGAAACGGCTCTATCATTAAAAATAAGAAGGAATAAATGATTAGATTTAACCTCGAACACGGTGCAAATAGCCGTTAGAAACAGAAAACGCACGCACCAACGACGTGTAGACAGGGAGATGACACGTGTCAAATCCATTCCGTTGTCGAAACTAAACCGTCCCTCTTCAATTGAGACCGAATGGGCCATAGTTACCCTTCAATAAAGGAAAAAGATTGGGGGACAAATGTTGGACTCAGTTTCAGGCATTTAATTAAGTAGGCCCAGCCATCATTATCAACTTGACCACTATCGAGCACGACGAGGTCAAAACAATATCCCGAAGATCGCAGGAGCAGTTAGAGAATAAGGACACTATAAAAGAGGAGTTAGAGCGGAGCATAGGACACAGGGAAAACCCTAGAGTTAATTACCATTCCCATCAACCTCACTTCTTAATCTATAGTTCGTTTATAGTTTCGCTCTCTTTGTTGTTCTCGATCTTGATTATCATTTTGTATCAAACTTCATACTCAATAAAGTCCATTTTTGTCAACTGAATTCCGATTGTATCGTTGTGTTTTAAGAGCATCGTTTCCCACATCATTTGTCTTCCCCAGATTAAACTCTTGATTATTATAAAATACTTAGTGTGGATTTTAGGATCTACAGTGAGAGTGGATATGGAGAGGAAGAGAATGTGGGCACCATTTTGGAACACGATGAACACCCCCACAAGGAACAAAAGAGGAAATGTTGGGAGGTGAAGTAGGTTGTAAGCCTTTCAGTTTCAGTTTTGATGTTTTTATCGTATGGGAATGTTGTGAGGTGAAATTTTTTTTTGTGTGTTGTACAACCATGTGAAAATTTATTTTTTTACTGGTATAACTACGATAGGAAAACTAGTAATATGATTGTAAATTCTAAAATTGTTAATAAGTCATGGAAGTAATAAGATGGTGATTTATTATTAATGTTTATGATAATTATGATCTAATCAGAATTATTAAAATTTCATCTCATTGCTTGTTAGTAATCATTTAGGAAATACATTGCGTTCTCATAGCTTTTTTGTTAATACCCACGTGGTTACATTTGAAAATTTGCTAATGGCACGAAATCAAGTTTATGTTTACATGATCGTATGAGAAATTAACCAAGGAAACATAGTTTAATTGATATAACTATAAAATCACTCATTCAAGTAGAGTATAGTAAGATAAATGGAAATAATTAAGAAGTAGAACTTTGATGTTTTCTGTAAAACTAAAAACTTGGTTAAACTTCAACCAAGAAAATTCTAGGATAAAATTTCGAATTTCTAATTTCCCTCTTCCCGCTCAGATTTTCAAATTTCTAATTTATCTCTTCCCAATTTGCTAAAACTCCAAAATAGTGTAATCGAAGTATTAAAGACACTTTTTGAGTTTTTCCCATTCGCTATCTTCTCCTTTCTCTCTCTTCGAATTCCTTCACTCTTCCCTAATTTATATCTCTCCCAACCGCCGAACTCCACCTAACCCCGGATGTCTGCTTCATCTTCCACGACCAGTGGTCGGAGACGAATACGGATTTCGGGAATACCTAGTAAGTGTTGGTGCGGGGTGAGCACCACCGAGCTCATCTCCAGAAGCAATCAAAACCCATATCGCCGATATTATCGGTGTCTCTATGCGGCTTCACAAAGGGTACATCCGTTTAGCTTTAGTTATTGAAGACTTACTCGTTCTTCTTTTAATTGGTACGTTTAATCCGTTGTAGCTTGAGAACGACAATCACATCTTCAAATGGGTTGATGAAGCTTTCACCGATGAGATACAACAGTTGGACTACCAAGTTCGAATGCTAGAAGAAGAAGTCCAACTTATCAAAGCAACAATAAGGAGTGAAGGTGAACTTAGTGAAGGTCGCAAAATAATGCTCAAGATAAAAATAGCAGGAGGTTTTGTTGTTCTTACTGTTGTTTTAGTTCTAGGAATTATGATGTACAAGAAGTAATTCCTAAGAGAATTCAATTCCTACAGCTATGAAAAAGTTGGATAACTATGTAATTTGAAAAAGTTTCTATAATTTTTACGATGTTAGACAATTAAGAAAGTGAAATTAACCCAAAGTCTGACCTATTTAAACGAAAACGAATTTCAACTTTGTCTAAATTTTACAAAGTTGGACAATTAAAAAAGTGAAAGTTAAAGTAAGATAAATTTTTAACAGTTTATACGAGAACCAACTTCTAGCTCATCTATTTTCTTAGAAGTTGGAAAAAGTTAAAACCACAAAAGTTTCACCAACATTTGACATAGTTTCATCAACATTTAAACAAAGTTTCACCATTTTTTTAGAAGTTGGAAAATTGAAAAATTTAAAACCAAAAAATTCATCAACATTTGACATAGTTTCACCAACATTTAAACAAAGTTTCACCAAGTTTAAGACAAGTACAAAGATGGAGAACACTGAGAACAACAAGATTTACAAAAGACCTACAGCCCCATATCTCTAAACATAAGGGTCACTGTGTAGTAGAGACTGCCTGAACTACTCAACCACCGGCAAACACGGATTGAACCTGAAGTCAGATAATCCACCTTCGGTCTCAAGCCATAGATCAAGAGAACCAAAATAATATGTATAAATGAGATTAGTTAATATTTTACTCAACTATCACATTTAAAACTAGACAGATACACTACACTTACTCATAAATTTCCAGACCCTCCACATCTTAAGGACCATAATCACCTGTCCACGACCTCTCATGTTTTGAAGACCATCCCGAAAGGCATACGCATGATCGCCAGTTGCCACACATTTTATCCGACTATCACTATTCAGAATACAAAGGTGCGTCAATTACATTATAGATAAATTTTGCTTTGATCATGTGTTACTTTCTATGTACATGTTATCCTTTATGTAAAACACCATCCTTGGATTTGCAGGGTCATCGAAATGGTCTTCCGTGTTGAAAACCACTCCCATTGTATCTAGCAGACAAGTGTTACGTTTTTCTTAGTTTAATTTAGTTTCATAAATCTAAACATGTGAATATATTTAAACTTTAGTAGCATTCATACCTATGGGATAGTTTCGGTCCTTGTGGTCCATGTGAGGGATTGCATGGATGTTCTTGAAGTCTATGAAAAGCCGATTGTTCAGAGGATCAATGATATGGGCTTGCGTACAGAGTGTAGCAGTTAGATAGAACCAAGGATTAGTTGCCTGGAAATCCGAAAGAGAACGGTTAACTTCTACCCGAAATATTTCCACTCATTTTCCCTCTTGCTTTTCTAGGCCTCTAAACCTATCATAATTCCCATAAATGGTCATCTCCAAGGATAAATAAAAGTACAAGGATCAAGTTTTTATTTTTCATGATTACATATTATTAGAGACTTCAGAGATGATGATTTAACACATACCTCTTCATCTGCTAGAACATAGGTATAGAAAGGTCCACTGCTAGTAAGATAGAAATAGAAAGGGTAGATTCTGTGTATTTTGACTCTGAAACGCCAAGCCGTGATCTTGGGGTTATAACAAATTTCAGAAAGCTTATTGTAGTGTGCCATCTTGTTTGTTGAGAGAGGAGATGATGAATCCTTTCTTTGCTTTTATTTTTGGTGAAATTTTGCAGAGAAATATTAAATTACTGTGGGGGAGTTTAAAGTTTAAAAGGGTCGAGTTTAAATGCAATGGTGATGATGAATGGGGATTGTAGATGGTGTAGTGTTGAGGGTGGCGTTTGAATACAAGTGTAATGATTATTATAAGAGACTTTTTCATGAGATACGTTGTGTTCTTTTAAGGAGTCCATCAAATCACTCATAAATAGAGGAGTTACAAAATGGAAGTTGGGGTAATAAATCATTAATCTCTGTACTGCTAGTTTCTGTCATTAAATATGTCTACTAAAGTATATTAAGTTTTACATAGTTTCAAATGTTTATACCATCTAAATTGTTATGTTTTTCTTTGTTTCATAAATTTTGACAATCTAATTCACTTAGTTTCACTTATACATAGTTATAAATCTTAATAAATTAATAAATTAAAATTATACAAAGTCATGTTGCAGTCAGAAGGCGTGTGAAAGAAGTTGTGCTTTCTCGGGAAGTCAATCAAATGAATACCCTATCAACTCACCCTTAAATAGACACGCCACTGCTTCAATCATTAATTACAGAATTTTTCTCAAACTAAATATTACCATTTTCATTTATCATCTCATTCTTTGCTTCAATCATTAATTACAGGATTTTTGTCAAACTAAATATTACCATTTTCATTTGGAGAATCTAATTTTCTTAACATTTGGCATAGTTTCATATATTTAGACAATCTAAATTGTTAAAATTGTACTTATTTTCATGAATTTAGACAATCTAAATCACTTATTTTCACTTACTTATATATAGTTACATATCTTTATCGATTGGAGTTTTTCAAAGTTTCAAGTCCAACCCATGCGCCTGTTGTTGCACTGAGAAGTCGTGTCTGTTCACTCGTGTGTCTCGAGGCGTCTATCAAATCACCTTAAGTGGGGTAATAAATACTCAGTTTATACTTATCTCTTCACGTCAGTTGAAGTTTATACTCGATTAAACAAATATCTCTTTTTTTTTAATTAAATGTTAAATTGAATTCAAAAAGAAAAAAAACCCTTGTTACACATAGTGTCATTTCCTAAGTTTCTATACAACAATAGTATGAAACCAAGTAAAAAAATTCATCTAAAACATCCAAGTTTCTTCTAGCATCTCCCTCATCACCCTTCATAACTACTCTTACTCCTATTAGACATCCAGCTCTCATTCCTACTGGTTACCATCTCCATACCCAACCCTCACTCCTACTGGGCACCTAGCTCTCACTCCTACTAGGCCACAAACTCATCCAATCACAAACTTTCTCAAAGAACTAAGCTCAACACAACTATCTCGTTTGAAACCAAAACTGCATCCCCTCTCCAATTTTCCTATCCCCTTTTCTCTGAACCAAGGTGAGCTTATTTCTCTTGTTTTTATCAAGCAACTTTATCAGTAAAGCCACCCGGAGATTCAGCTTCGCCATGTCTTTTTCTGTTGCGCTATAAGCCACAGCATATAGACGGTTGCTTGAAACATATACTTAATGATAAACAGATGCATCTTACTCCAAGTTGGATCCCTCATAAGTCTCAAAATTATGTCCCATCTCACCGAGTATTTATCCCTTAGCACCACTTTTCATCAACACCTCCCAAACCTGAGAAGAGTACTCACACTCAAAGAATAAATGCTCAAGAGTTTCCAATGGCTCAGAACACAACACACAAGAAGTATTGATGTTACCACCCCCAAGAACTCATATAGTCTCCAGTAGAGAGTCTACCTTTCATAGCTACCCACAAAATGAAAGAGTACTTCGGCGTAGCATACTTGAACCAAACCACATTGCTCCAATGGCACAAAAGAGTACTTCCTCGCAAGAGTTCCCATGTGTCTTTTGATGAAAAAGTTCTCTTGTAACTCTTACTCCCCCTCCACAAAGCGACGTCTTCAACCTCTCGAGAACTACTTGCTCTGATCTTATCAATCTCATCTTCAACTCTATTTAAGAGAAGAACACGATGATGCCGCTTTCTATGCTTCCAACTCTCCTCAACCGTTGTTGTTATTGGAATACCCAAATCAATGTTACTGCCTTCACCTAACACATCTTTCAAGCAACCCATAGATGACCAGTTTTCAAACCAGAAAGCCGCCTTCCTCCCATTATGTACTTCCACCTTATACATACTTTTCGCCATTTCTCTATATTTCAAAATCTTTTTCCACATCCAAGAGCCAGACTGAGTAGATTCTTTTACTGTCCATAAGGAACCCTTACGAATGAGATAGATTTTAACATAGTTGACCAACATCGAGTTACCAGATAAAATTCTCCAAATCATCTTCAGACAGCTAACCAAGTTTGACTCTTTCAGCCTCCTTAAACCCAAACCTCCCTCCTGTTTCGTGCTACATATATCACTCCAAGAAACTTTAGCTTTTCTGTGATTTAGCTCTGGACCCGACCACAAAAAAGCTGAGCAAAGTCATTCAATCTCCTTAATGCAACTACTTAGCAACCGAAACGCTGTCATCCAAAAGTTAACCAACCTTGCAATAACCGATTTGATTAATTGAAGACGACCAGCATAAGACAAAAATCTCCCCGTCCAGAAACTAATACGCTTCCTTATCTTCTCGATCAGAGGCATATAGTCCAGAACTGACAAATTTTTGTCAAGAGAGGAAGGCCTAAATAACGCACTGGAAGCTTATCGATAGCAAAAGGAAAATGGTTAAGAATTTCTTCTTGCTTTTGCGTAGAGATTCCAGCTAGAAACAAGGTTGGCTTCTCCATACTGATCTTAAGCCCAGCCATTCTATCAAACTCATCAAAAACTTTCAGGATACATTCAACAGACCTCCTTGTACCATCAGAAAAGACAATCAGATCGTCTGCAAAGCAAAGATGTGTCAGGTCAATATTCTTACATCTCGGATGATAGCCAATTTCACCATTCACAGCTGCTTTATCCAACATTCTAGAGAGAACATTCATACAGACCACAAACAGGTAAGGAGATAAGGAACATCCCTGCCTAAGCCCTCTTTTACTTTGAAAATAACTCGCTAGCTCCCCATTGACCTGAACAGACAAAGAGGCTGAGGTAATACACAATTTGATCCTGATCCAGTGAATGAATCTAACAGGGATCCCCAGAGCTTCTAACGTGTTAAGAAGAAATGGCCATTGTACCGAGTCAAAGGCTTTCGAGATATCAATCTGCATTGCACATCTTGGCAAAATTGAGTCTTTGTGATAGTCTTTCACTAATTACGTAGCCAAAAGAACTTTCTCCATAAGCAACCTCTCCTTTATAAATGCAGATTGATTCCATGTTATACACTTTGGAAGGATTCTCTTCAATCTGTTGGCCAGAATCATCGAGATCAATTTGTACAATACATTGCAGCAGGAAAAAGGCCTATAGTCTCTCATCCCTCTTGAATCAGAGCGAAGATGGTGGAATTTAACCCTTTTGGTAAAAAACCCAATCTGAAGAAAGACTGCACAGCCACAGTGACATCATTGCCTATTATACTCCACGACTCCTTAAAGAATTCTGACGTGTACCCATCAGGCCCTGGAGACTTGTTTCCAGACATTTTAAACAGAACACCCTTAATCTCCTCATTTGTAACCTCCTTCAAGAGATTAACACAGTCAACCTCATCACACTGAAACTCCAACAAATCTTTAAGCTTCTCTACAGTTGCTCCTTCAAACTCCCTCGGCTGAGCTGTCATAAAGCCCTCAAAAAAGCTGTCTGCTTCTCTCTTTATCTCATCCCCTGATTTAACAATCCTCCCATCTGCACATTGAATCTCATATATAGTATTCTGTGATTCTTTGATCTTCGCTGCACTGTGGAACCCCTTATTGTTTCCATCACTTATATCCAACCAGTGAAGCTTAGATTTTTGTTTCAGATACTCTTCTTCTATGTCTGCCAACTTCTGCCATCTATCATAAGCTTCGACTTCCTCCTTAATACTCTCCTTCGTTGGATTTTCCATAGTCTCTTTTTGTCTTGCACAAAGAGTTTGATGAGCTTCTCTTGTTTTTCTTAACAGATCACCAAGTTTTAACTTACTAAGCGTTCTCAGGGGCTGTTTAAGAACCTTTAAGCGCTTAGTAAGTTGAAACATAGACGAAGTTGAATGATGTAACACCTCCTGATCTTTCCAAAAATCTTCCATCAGAGGGAAAAACTCAAGCGTCTTCGCAATAATATTAGTAAACTTGAAAGGCTTCCTTTATCTCTCTACTTCCCTATCAAAATGAATTCTACACTTGAGATGATCAGAGCAACCTCATCCTTCAAAAACATAATAGGCAATAGATTGATTGAGTCATTCTTCATTTATTAATACTTTATCCAGCTTCTTACAAATCAACCCCTCTTCTCTCTTGTTACACAAAGTAAACAAAGGGCCTTGAAACCCCATATCAGTCAGACTACAATGGTTCGCAACCTCCTGAAACTCACGCATACCCATAGGAATTATGTGAGTACTCTCAAACTCTGAATGCTCTCTCCCCTCCAAGATTTCATTATAATCACCCAATAACATCCATTTTTCTTTTTAAACATCGCAGAATCATGATGACTAGCAATATCCTCCCACAAGCTTCTCCTCTCTTACAATGTGTTCAATGCATACACAAACGAGCAAAAAACTTCCTCCACTTCCCCCGGCATCAGAACAGAGACTGTGATCAGTTTGACTGCTCTTATAAACCGGAAATCTTATTGACAACTGCCAAACCACCCATAACCTTCCTAATCTGTTGTGCTCATAGTTAGACATAAAGTCCCAAACCTTCCTAATCTGACTGCGACACAATACTCCCTGCCTTTTTCTCCTTTACTCTTGTCAAACTTTAACTTGGCTTCTCTCCCTCCTTCCATGCTTCATAAGATTCTCTCAAAAGTAGCAACTAGCCATCTCCGGGACTTCGGTAGTGCAAGAGTTGC